AATGATCACTGAATATGATCCACACCATGGTCAGAATGACCATCAACAACAGCAACAACAACGTTCAACAATGCTTGAACGTGGTCGAGCTATAAAATTAATGAGAAATGGAGATTTATATTTTCCTGGACGTTCATTCGTTATAAATCAACGTAAATATCCAATGCTTGACGTATTGTTAGATGATGCATCACAAGCATTACGTGCCAATTTTGGTGCAGTAAGATGTATTTATACACCTAAGAATGGTACCCGATTACATGATATATCTGAGTTGGAAGATCATCGAACTTATGTCGCATCTGGAGGTGAAAAATTTAAAAAACTTCAGTAAGAATTTCGATAAATTATTTTATGATTAAAAACATTATACTTCTATTTTTTTTTAGTTATCTTGATATTGCAGAGGGTAAACGCGTTCAAAGTAAAGATCGAACACAATATAAAGTAAGTGCAATACTCAACATTACACTTCACATACTTAAATTTCTTTTATTTCATCAATATACTTATTGATAATCATAGATTTCAATCCTATTTCATTCAATTGTTGAGTTAATCTTTTTTATTTTGATCACTTTAAAGTATTACTTGTTATAGCTGAGATAAGACAACGATAAATTGAGAGATAAGTATAAATTGTCTTGTCATATAATAAGTACAATAGCAAAGCTTTGTCTTTAAAATGTAATCTTATTAAAGCCACTTCAGTAGATTTCGAATTTTAATTTTCTTCTTCTTTTTTACTCTAGTTACCGCCTGTTCGACGTCTTGATGTTGAAGGGCGAGCATTGAAATTATCTCGATCAGAAAATGTTATTATTTAGTAAGTCACACTTCGATTTTTTTTTTCTGTTTATCGAATTAAATAATTCTTTCATTTTTAGTGTCTATCGAAATGGTGATCCTTTAACATTACCAGCAAAAATTCTTTTGGTTAAAACAACATTACAAAATTGGGAATCTGTTCTTGATGAAATTACTAGAAAAATATCGCCTACAAATTCGGCCGTATTAAAGTATCTCTATTAATCTCATTGATTGTTTTTCTGTATCATATAAAAAATCTATATTTTTCTTTAGATTATATGCAATGAATGGAGAATTAGTAACATCAGCTCAACAACTCGAATTCAATGGAATGTATGTTGCAGCAGGAAAAGAACGTTTTAAACGTATTGAATATCCCGATCCAAAATCCTTCAGTCCCAATTCATCACCCAAAATGTCAAGAAAATCGTAAGTAGAACTAATGTATTTGTTGTTTTGATATACATATGAAGGGGTTTTTAAGACAAAAAAAAAATGTAATCAATATGTAACAATAAATGCACCAAATATTTGTATCTCACTTTCTGTTTTTCTTTCACATTCAATTAGATCGAATTTTCAATTTTCTGGGTAAGTACTAAGGCACCCGATGTTTAAATAACACAGCAAATAGTAGCGTGTTATTTGCATCGGTAGACAAATAAAAAAAAAAAAGAAAAATCAGAATATTTTTACTAATAAAAAAAAGTATTTAACGATCTTAGTATTGTGTTGAAACATGTAGCTATTTGTTTTTAATAAGTAGTATGGTCTTCATTAAGGCAAAAGTATCTCATAAATTTTTGTAGTGATCGTGCTCGAATGAGATTACCTGCCCGACAAAGGAGAGTAGAAGATTATTATGATGATCATCCATCAACGCACATGCTTCATTCCATACAAGACAGGTATTATTTAACAATAAATATTTTCAACTCCCGCCGATACTATTATCTATTCTAATCAACCGATGACTGAGTGTTGAAATGCGAAACCCTAAAGACAGCATACATTTATACTGATTTTCTTGTTCTTCTGCTTCTTAGATTTTCAATTAATATTTACATATATTATAATTTAGTTATTATTATTTATATATTTATTTTACTTTTATATAGATATACGAAATCGGATGGAACAAATACACATACAACAACAGCAAATTCGCATGGAAGTATTGAACATCCTGGACTGTAAGTCATTTTTCTTATTTAGAGTAATCTAATTCATATATGTTTAAGTCGACGTCCTGTTCGAGAAGAATATGATTTTTTTAATAGCAAACCTCAACAACATCGACGTGGTCCAACTAAAGAAACGGATCTTGATCGAGGTAATACTTGAAGATAAACAGGAAACAATTATGTTAATCATTATTATTTAATATCTTGTTTAGATGACGGAGGTATTTATAAAGGCCGTTTAAATCATCGAGAACACGTACGTGAAATCGATGAAACACGTGATACAAAAGTTGATTTGCCTGTAGATTATCGAGAAGTTGAAACTGTTGAAGTAAGTTATCTAACTATCTCATAATCAGCTTATATTTTTGACGATTTTAGGAAGAAAATTTGTATGGCAATACAGGAGTATGTTATTTCTTCGTCTTATATTCTTTAAAAATATAATTATTATCATTATTATCTAGAAGACACCTCGTCGTCATCCTCAACCACCAATCCAACCAAAGACCAATCAAGCTTTTGCTGATTCACCTCGACGTTCACCACCAATACGATCAGTAAAAGTATGTTGTTTTGTCTGAAAATGTCATCTTAATTTACGTTGTTTTTTTTCTATATCTAGACTCCACCAAAGCATTATGATGATGATGATAATAAAAATAACGATAGATTTGGAATGAAAAATGGCTATCAACCTAAAAACGATCATCATAATAGTACAAATAATAAAGGCTTTGATGACGATTATCAGCGTCGTACACCCCCAGCATCAACACACATAGACGATGAAATAAATGATAATCGAGACGAACAACAAATGCCTCATTCAACTCGACAACAACAGATTTCTTCACCAAGTACACAGGTATGATTATGTGTAAATTAAATTTTTGCTTAATTTTTGATTTACTAATATTTTGACCAATGTATATTTCGTGTGCGTGTGAGCTTATAAACTTCTTTATAGCCTAACAGCAAAGATGAGAATGATGCTGCAACTGTTATTCAATCACATGTTCGTGGATATCTTACACGTAAACAGAGTCACTTTGAAAAGCAGCAAAATACTGACAAATTAACCAATAATAATGATCAACAACAACATGAGACACATAAGCACGAGGAAAATAAGTTAAATCAACAACATTATCAGCCACAAACAAATGAGGTGAACGCTTTTATTTTTGTGCTAATACCGCTATTGAAAAAAAAATCACTGGCTTTTTTGTTGTTGTTATATAGTTAAATAACAATACCATTGAGCCCTTAGCTGATTTAACTGCTCAGCGAGTCATAACAGAAGCTTTGGTAGTAGATAACAAAAAAGAAGAAGAAGAAAGGGTATTTTTTTTTTTTAATATTTAATTTAACCCTTACAAATCCTAGTTGTGTAATTCTTTTTCTGGTATTGATATTTAATACATCTAGATTAACGATTAACTTATAAATATTTGATTTATATGCTTATTTTCTACATATTAGTTTCTAGTATATTGTCTCATTTTTCATTTTTAATATTAAAAGCAACATGAAATATGATAATATCTCTTTTTTGTCTGCTTCGATAAGCTTGTTTTTGATGAATCTATTTATAAATTTTATTTTCTCTATCTCTAGCGCCATGATGACGATGATGACAATGTTTAAAATTGTATTCCACAACGTCTGACAAAGACTTCTTATCCTATACATCCTCCTTCAAAATGTTAACCAAAAAAACTCAACATATTATGTATATGCATTATATTTTAATGATGATGATCTACTCGAATTGATCATTTTTTTTTTCTAATTTTAAAAAAATATGTTATTACATTCTATTTGTTCTTCTTTCTATTTATCTTTATCTTGCTTTCGCTTACAGTTTTTTTTTGTTACTTAGACGAATTTTTTGCTGTAGGCATCACCTGAACGCATTGGCCAGTAAACGATGGCTCTGGTAATCTTATAACAAAGTTATTATAATTCTATAAATATGAATTGATCTGCATATCAAATATCTATTTATCATTTTTAAATGAATTTGCTTTTAACTGATAGACTACTCAAAGCTAAGAAGTTGATTACACACGTTTTCTTCCAGCAATTGTATGAGTATACCTAGAGATATCCTTATGACTACCGGTTTTTTTGAATAAAACAGTATCCTCGATAAATTACTATAATAATAAAAACAAATATCAGCATAAGTTGTGCAAATTAATATTTTATTTTTGATTAAAAATCTATTCAAATTTAATAGAGCTCCATATGGCAAGGAGGTCTTTGATGATTATTAAATATTCAGAAACGACAAGTGTAACTCTTCAATGAAAATAAAACCATATACAGAGAAAGAAATATAATTATTAGTTCTTTCGTGTTTAATTAATTTTTTTCATCAAAAAATAACAAATAATGAAAAATTTCAAGCATGCTTGTCGAAAATAAATTTATATTTTTTATCGAAAAAGAAAAAGATTTAGTTACAACGAAGGGTTGAAGCCTATTCGATCCATTATTGCATGATATAAAGTACATAGCAGTTATTACTTCACTAGAAAAGAAAAAAATTGAATTATAAATTACTCATTGTTGCTTATCTTCGTGTGTTACTAATTAAGCTTAGTTTTTTTTCTTGCCTTTGCATATTATCTTCATGTTTAAACATAGAAAAAGAAGTATACTTGCGTATTTACTATCGATGAGTAAGATCTGCAGGATTGTTTAAGATAACCATGCCTCGACTTCTCTGTTCCTTCATTATTTGAAGCCCTATTCTTATCATCATCGACGATTTCGTTCTCTGTTTTGAATATCGCGAATAAAAAAAAATGACGAATAAGACGTCTTTATTCCTTTTTGTTCTTAGTATGATGTTGACTGAGTGATATTTATTGGTTAATCATAATTATTTTTTATTTTACTTTGTTTATATAATTGTTTTCTTTACAAATATAAAGTTGAAGTCGTATTTTGAGTGTGCAATAAATTAATCTAATAACTATAATTATTAAAAACAGTATGGGTGCAAATGGAAGTAGTGAGATTCAATTAACGTTTAATCGTCCAAATTTATTTTATTTTGCTGGTGAACAAATATCAGGCAATATTTCATTTCAAAATACACAAGACAAACTAATGTTAGATGCAGTTTTTCTTGAATGTGTTGGTGAACTAGGATATACAACACGAGAACATCGTCATTACCATGATAAAGATGGACAAAAACGAACCGAATATTATACAAAATATCATCAAATACCATTTCTAAATTTTCGTATTGCTGTTGCACAACCACAATATGGTCAAGTAAAAAATCTAAATAAATAATAAATAATTTATTAAAAAGATTTTCTTTGTACAAAATTTTAGCGTGAAATAACTCTTTATCGTGGTCAACATTCATGGCCATTTGAATTTATTTTACCCTCGAATTTACCTCCATCATTAATTCCATCGACAATTTCATATCCTTATGTTAAATATTATACACGTATTGTTCTTGATAAGCCATGGTACAAACCAAATGCTAAACAAATTTTTCCCTTAACCATTTTTCCTCATGTTAATCTTCTTCATATACCAGGTGGACAACAACATGTAGTTTTTTCAAATGAAAATCGAAAGAAAATTCGAATAGAAGGTTTTTTAATTCGAGGTGGCGTTGTGCCTGGTGAAAAACTTTCCATTCATATTAATCTTCAAAACCCTAATCGATCAGAAATCAAAAGAATTGAAGCAACATTAATTCAACATCGACAAGTCGCTCAAAGTTGTCATGCAGAAGTTATATTTCGACTAGATTTACCAGATGTACGTGGTTTTAATGATACAGAATTACGAAGAACTTTTGATCTTATTGTGCCTGCTGTACACTTATCTCCTACGTACACGTATATGGCAACATCTTTTACTGTAACATTAGGAGTTTCAATTCACTATGAACTGATACTAGATGTCAAAGCACGTGGATTATTTACTGATTTCAAAATAAGTGTGCCAGTCGTTGTTGGTACTGAACCAATAGCAGTTGAACACCAACAACAACAAATGAACCATCCAATCGAAATGCCTACAGCTAGTGCTCCAGCATTCGAATATGATGAGCCACCACCAAGTTATGATGTAGTAGTTGCAAATCAGAAAATGTAAAAATTTAAAACTATCTGCTTAGTTTTTGCCTTTTAAAAGTATTGTTTTTATTAATTTTTTATAAATTATCTTGTATAAAACAGAAAACAATAATTAAAATGAATCGTTTCGAATAACATCATTGTATTTTAAAGCAACGTGACAATATATAGAGAGTTCCATGCATAAGTTAAACAATTATTATGACGAACATCTTTCAGATTAAGTGTTAGCCATTCAATCATCTACTTAGCTATTTTCGACTATCTTGATTTATGGTACATCTTATTCTCATCATACGTATTTTAATCTTTTTTTGTATGATACAGAGATGAATGAAGAAGCATATTATTGTTTTATTGTGATTTCTAAAATAAAACGCACCAAGTAACGATGTCACCATGGATTTATTTTTCTTTTCTCGTCTGGATTGGCTGTACTCAAGGTGAACTAAATAATGAATCACTTACTAATACTTGGTATCCAACACAGATAAATAACAACGTCAATTCACCGCTTTCTTACTGCTTATAGAACATGAAACAAAAAAGTTACAGAAAAAATTATGTTAATTAAACAAAACATTAATAAATAGACTATGAAATCATTAATATATTCACTTTAATGTTGACTCACAACTGTACATGCATAACATTATGTCGAGTGATCGATGTTAGTCAACACATTCATACTTTGATCAAATATGAAGAAAAAATATCGCTTCAATTAAGGAGCCATTCAGAGAATTTCACTCGATTAAAAGCAAACGAAGTCAATTCAACAAAAATCATAACTTAGAACATGCTGAATTTAAGATGAAACTTACTGTATGCATTGTTAATGATTATCAACGTTAAGCGAATGTAGTTGAATATGACGTAGCAGGGGTACAGATAGCGTTCGATAGGTCTAAGATATGTGGTTGAAGACAAAGTAAGAAACGCTTTCTTGGTTTATGTGGTTTGTACGATAAAAGTCGTTTGCATAATACTCATGAACGTTCGATTCTTGCCACGCATAAGTTATATTCAGCATAAAAACGTCTTAAATTACAAAAACAAGTTTTAATGAGCTAAGATTTTGGAGATAACAGCTGAAGCAAAATTTAAAGTTGTTACTTCTCAAATAAACATTGTTAAATCTAATCTTTATAAAAAGCAAGCTTCATTCAAATATATGGCATTAGTTGAGAAAAGACGTAAGGTCGTTCAAAACTGTCTACAAAATGGTTTAGGTTCATGAATTGTATTCAAGGATTGTTTAATAAACTTGATCGATTTTTCAATGTGATTGAACAACTCAATAAAATCTATGAAGAAATGATTAACAACAAATTGTTGAATTCGATCCATAACAACATTCAACTGAAACAATACATTTCAATAGTCAAAACTTGGGAAAAAATCAAACATATGACTAAGACTAAGAATTGAGTAGTAATCGACAAAAATGATAGATGTTTTCCTTGTTTATTGATAGGGCATGTTTAATTAGTTAACTGCTATTTCATAATTATTTTGATAGCCAACATTTCTTTTCTTTTTTGGTTACTATAAAGAAACAATAGATTATAATTGAGCATTTTCTTAGAAGAAATTAAGAAGTGATTACAAAAAAAAGTCATATGCGTAGACATTCAATCTTTATTGGTTTTCAAGAATAATGTTTGAAATGGGTCTATTTGAACTAAAATATTTCTTGAGTATATGAAAAATAAATGATTTATGAAAGTTATATTCTCTTGGATAGCTCTGTTTGCTATTGTCTAGGATTTAAAAATTCAAATTGATTTTATTTTTATAGTAAATCGCTGTAATACGAGCTCTAAAATACTTCTAATTATTTAATTATTTACACATCCATCAATCAAGAATTTACTGAACTTTTTTTGATTCAGTACAAGGAGTAGAAGTATCATATTTCCACTTGTTGCATCTTTTACGTCGCTTTGCACTTCCTTTTGCTGCCACGTTTTCTGATGATCAAATTTTGGTAATACTATCACGACATGACATATCAAAACAAGATTCAAGTGAGGTATTCTAGTAATAGAAGGTTTTTTTATAGACTAAAACTCGAGGATTGTATTTGTCAATATGTTTGATACCTTAGGACTCTGATTGCTATGACATAGGATATAAAGACTGAGGACAGATACGATCATTCTTTTACACCCATCAAAGTTCGATTTTTTTTTATATTGAATCAACTCAACTTAAATTCTTGATGACAAATACGAAGACTTACTTTATAATATCTCTCAACTGATTTTCGAATCGGTATCATACTCAATCACAGGGATTAAAGAAAACTATTTTTGACATTTCTGTAAGGAAGTACAGATGTAGGTCGAAAAATCGAGCGCAAGGTATGGCACAATAGACCTTGGTAATATCATCGGAAGTCCATGTTGAGTTGATTTTAATATAAAACGAACGAGATTATTTTAATGGCGAGAAAATGGTCTTATCAACGTTTCTTCATGTTAGTATAACTCTCAAGAGCGCTAAAGAAAAATTCGCAAGTTATATTCGATGATTCAAACATTGACTAATAAGTTTTTAATAGAGTCAAGCAATAGAAAACACATTGATTAATTGGAATTAATTAGCTATGTATGATAAATGATGCAAAATGGCTGAAAATGAGACCCTTCACAAGAATCCATAATTAGAGATCTAGGTTCGATGCCGCCTATCAAAAGTTTAATTCAGAAAACTGTTAGAATATCCTAATATTTTTTCTTTATTATTGTCGCATTTCTAAAGATATTTTCCATATAAAATGACACAGTTAATGATATGAAAAAGCCCAATAAAATGTCAGTTCATCTGTATCAACAAGTGTTCTATGAAAATCGTCACAAATGCGAGAGGATAATTTTTGTTATTAAAATTTATCGTTCTGTCTTTTTAAATTTATGGTATCTTTGCATGCCTTTTTGCTGTCTATGTCGGCTGTATTTTTATAGATCTGTCTCCTTGCAGATTGTATTACTGATAAGTGAAATATGATTTAAAGGCTGTCTATGCGGTAATGAAAAAGAAAGAATTATATTTGAATACAAATTGAAAGGTGCATCGATTCATCAGGAAAAAATCAAATGTCATTAAATACATTTTATAACAATTGAAAGAATCGAAGTAATGTTGAAAATCTTTTAAAGATCAGTCTCATTTCTTTTCTTTTTCTTATTTACAATCTCTTTCTTTTACTTTATTTTTGAATAACATCATATTTTATGATAGCAAGGTAAGCGGAAGCTGGTGTAGCATACAATTTGAGAATGACCTGATAATTTGAGTCGCAATCTTGAAGAAGATAACAGCTATCCGTTTTCATGTCGATTTCCTTGTCGTCGATAATTCGACAAAGACGAGAAGTATCTCTTTTCAACTGTTCATTGTCAATAGAGATTGCATAGAATTGTCGTTGTTGTGTATATGGGGTTTCAATGACTAATGCCGTATCATCTACTGGATAGCTCCAGTTGATCTGCATCGATTTCCATGATCTAGCAATCTCGGAATTAGCCAAATTTAAGATTTGTGATGAGGTGGTGTTAAAACTAAGATACGCCACACTCGGATCAAAATCTACTATACGAAGTTCACCTGTCGATTGAAGTTCTGACATGACTTCAACAAGTTTAAATATTCAATAGTATGAACAGCAACAATGCACAGTTTGTTTGTAATAAGTAATGGATGGCTATGAGAAAGAAATATTTGTGAATATAAAATGAGAGAAGACGTAAGTACATAGAAAAAGAAGAAACATTTGAATATAATTAATGAACCGCGAAAAATAAAACATTCTTACGTCAATACTTTCATCTCATAACTATTTACAAAGAGCTCATAGTATACTTTGCATTGATGTAGCCTGGACTCGTCCAGGTAAATAATTTTTGCATATGTTATTTGTCAAAACAAATGAGCGAGGTAAAAGATCTTTTCCTCTAACCGACTTCATAATGTATGTGTTTCAAAATAAGAGGAGAATAGCATGATATTTTCTTAATATGCAAAAGATGTGACATTAACCAATGTTTTTATCGATAAAAGAAACAGTGATGTGAAGATGCTGAAACGAATATTTAGACCAGAAGAGAGAAATTAGATGCAGATTGTCTATTTTTTCGATGATGTTCTCTAAATATATGAATAGTAAAATATGTAAAAAAAAATGAAGAAAGACAAGAACCCAAAGATCAAAGGCGGCTATGCATTTCTCATTGTGTATCTGTATGTCCCGCATGCCTCCGCACCCATCCTTATCAACAACTACATAGGTACCTACACCCAATCTCTACCTATAATGCCATTGTAGAACTTTGACAAGTTAATACATATTCTTAATCAACCCATGTCACAAAAATCGGATCAGTTTTAGAGGTAAAGCGCGGTTCTCTTCGATTAACCGCAGTTTTTCTATGTGAAGGAGCCGATAACCGGACCGTGAAATCACGGCTAACCGTCGGTTTTTGCCCGGTTTTCATCACATGGGTACGTACATCCTTTTTAAAAAGACTGAAAACTTTTGTTGTCATTCCTTCATATATCTAAACAACTGTACCGCTTTGCGAAATCATTTTTCAGGCTAAGGAGAAGTTACTATTAATAAAATGAATAGTTCACTTCTTATTTTCAAATACATGATATCTGATCGTGTATTAGGTTTACATGATTGAATTTGTATACAAAGCAACATAACATATTATTATTAAGGGATTCAAAAATACAACCAACATCGTCAAGTTTAGATTTAGACCAACATGGAAAAGAAGCTGCATATCTTGTACCAAACAGCAGTACCGCCAATGCCAATCCACATGTTATTACTGATAATGTAAATGAAATAACAATAACGCTGTCATCTACTGAAAACAATCATTGTATTTTGACCAATTTAGCAGCTTCAAATGAACGTTGTTATATAGCATGCTCTAGTTGTTCGAACAATGCTGATAGTGAAATTATTGATATTCGTGTGCAAACATCTAATTATGATTATTGTGATTCTGAAAATGAAAATAAAAGTGGTCATTCTGAAGCTGTATCAAAAGATGTTATTTTGTGTGAGAAATTAATTAGTAATCTTTTATCTTTGAAGAAAGTTAATGAAAATATTAATACTCTCTGAACAATGTGAAAGTCGACAAATAATTTCAAAAAAAAAGTATGTGCACGTGTATCATATACATCTTCTGATGACGTATTGAAAGGGTGCGGGTGTGGGGTAGGATGTCAAGCTGTGGATGTGGATGAGAATGTAGTTGTGAAGTGTGAGTTAGGGTGAGAATGTTGGTGAGTGTGAATGGGGATCAGCTGACGATTCGAAAAAACACCCATGCCCACACACAGCCACATCCATACCCTAGTTTCTTACTTCTCTTTCCCGTGCTGATTGTTCTTGTGCTTAAGTATTCGTACTTATTGTTTCTTGTGTTCATCGTTCACCAATTCTGACAAAAAAGAAGATTCGCATGTTGATATTCAACTTTGTAAAGGTAAGTTTTCATCACAATTTTCAATCATTTTGATATTCTAAATCAAAATATTAATCATCATCAGCAAGAATTATTTAAATCAAATCATTCTACACTGAAAAATAAATGGTACGATACCGAACCAAAAAAAGGTACTTCGAACGAAAAAAAAGGTTTCGTACATAGTACGGAACCTAAAAAGGTTTTGAATTCGTTGCAATTCTCTGAACCATTTTAGGTTCGGTACAGACCACTTCGAAAAACTTGAAAAAGTGTTCTGAGTCAATGACAATCAATTTTAGTCACCCAAAATTTTGTACGAAACCTTTTGAGGGTTTCGTATCGTTTTCCTAAATGGTTCTGTAATCATACAAATTTTTTGCAGCGTACCGAACCATTTAGGAAGACAATACGAAACCTTCAAAACGTTTCGTACAAAACTTTGGGTGACTAAAATTGATTGTCATTGATTCAGAACACTTTTTCAAGTTTTTCGAAGTGGTCTGCACCGAACCTAAAATGGTTCAGAGAATTGCAACGAATTCGAAACCTTTTTAGGTTCCGTACTATGTACGAAACGTTTTTTTCGTTCAAAGTACCTTTTTTGGTTCGGTATCGTACCATTTTTTTTCAGTGGACCTTTTTGAGTCTTTGATGGAACGAAATTCTTAGCGCGCCCATCGTTCAAGTTTCGTCCTGAAATAGAATTCAGATGTAAAATATTCTTATATTGAAGACAAATAATTCTCCCTAAATAACATACTGAATTCTTTTTTCAAGCAACTTCAATCAAACTGTTTCATTAGTACGACATTATAATAATACAAGTGATCAATAATAGAATGATACATCTACAAGGAGTTATTTAGTATAACATTGTGAAACTGACTGACATCATACAATTTAACTTACTCAAGTCGAAAAAATACGGTCTATATACGGTCGTTTACGGTAGAAATACAATGCGTAAACAGGCTATATAGCATCATAATAATTGATGCAGAAATTTGACCGTGTTGTAGTGAGATTACGGCATATACACAGCCGTGTACGGAGAAAATACGATTAGCTTACTGCAGTAAAGTTGCCGTTTTTTCACGATTTACTGACGGAATAAGGGCCATAAACGATATCTATTTTGATCAACCTGAATAATGCAACTAGTCTATTTTTCTTTGAGTGACTGTTTTAAAAATAGTGTTTAAAACAGTTGAAATCAATTATTGGTAAACTTGGACATGATTAAATTACCAATCATCTAAGTCAAAGTTTATTTTGATCTACGATGGTTGATAGAACACCGGATATTTATTTTTGATAAAGATATTATGTCAATTATCCTTAAATTTATTGATGAGGATGGCGAAACAGAAGAACGCTGACTATATCTAATTGAAATGAAAAAGACAAATTGGGGAAAATGTAGCTGATAATATGCTCCAAACATTTGCAAAACTTGGTCTTGATATTAATAACTTAATAGGTAAGTTCTTAGTGCAATAAATTTGCTCCTAAATGTATGATGTACATTTTAATCATGTGGTTTTAGATCAATCCTATGATGATGCAAATAATATATTTGAAGAACACAATGTTTGTGAAAACAATAAATAGTACTTAATTAAGACGTGATATTATTTTTGTTTCATATTGTGCGATTCGGCCAAATAAAATTGTAGAACACACTATACAGAATAGTGTAGATGAAACGAAATATTTTGATTTACATGATAAAATATCCGCTTTCATGATTGAGAGTACAAAACATTGTACAGCTTCATGTAACATTTATTCAATGTGAGGATGTGGATGCTGTTCTTCTCCTCACATGTATCCACATATATCCCAAACTACATCCATACTAACATTAAGTAGGTGTTATTATATTGCAGACACAAAATTCGTCTTTTTTACTGGCTTCACCGTATATTATCACAATCACAATTAGTTTTCTTTTTCGAGTTTCAAACCAAATGATAGAATTATTCATTGTTGTAAGAGCACTCAATCGAGTAACATATTTTATTCTTTCTATATCATTGTATAACACTGCAGGTTTTATTTTCTTACAAGTATTGATTTTATTCGAATTTTTATTCTGTCAGACGGCTGAACAGCAAGTTCTCACTGATTATTGTCTTTTTCTGATAGGTTTTTGTATGAATATCTTCAGCATTTCTTTTAAATATACTAGGGATGTCTACCATGCATGACGAATCGCTATATCAAAATAACTTATATATGTTCAAAAACTATTATCCATTTCAAAATGAAAGAGGAGTGGATATTTTTCTAATAATTTTCGATAGACAGCAGTACCAAGATGCGATTTTCACTGTTGGAAAGTAGAGATGAAGGTGAATCGAATCATATACTGCAGACTTTTCCGGCAAGTTTTATTGAGTGTTTTTTAATCGAGATTTTGACAAACCAATGTACCGCGCTCAGTCACCACAGGGAATTTTGGATTTTTACGAGTGCATTAGAATCGCCAATTGAAGATCTATAAAACTGCGCAAGACACAGATTTTTAGCTGGTGGGTGTGAGTGTGGGTGTAGGTGAATACTTTTGAGTACACAGCCATTAAAGATAGGACTTTGTTGATGCCATGTTGAAATCGACACAACGATGCAATACACTGAAGACATGAGTATTTTTTTCTATCAGACTTCTAATGATCACTGACGAAACAGAAAAATAAATCATCAAAGCAAAGAAACAGAAAAAAGAGAGCGACTTGATAAATCATGAGTTGGATGAGTATCATTCAGTGAATAAAAATAAATAAAATAAGATGAATCGTGTTTTTATTTAGTAATCGATAACAATTTTTCGCATGCATAACTGTTATTCATTCAAAGAAGAGAGTGAAAAGAGAACATGCAAGTGTATTCATTGATGCAGACTTCTTATTTACCATAATCATAGGCTGAATAAGTCTGACATTAAATTAATTTACTGGAAAAATCATAATCTTGATTTTTGTATATTTTCTTATATAAGACTTATAAACCTGCTTCATCTTGCGTTTCATTTAGTGTAGGGATTCACAAACGTGAAATTATAGAAATTTGGTTTATAAACGTATATCAGTTATTGAATTTGGTACGACTAATAAGTACTTGTGATTACTAGAAAGACAGAAGTCTACAAATCCATCAATAAAACTCTGCTTTTACAATGAGATATTTTCTGTCTCGCAGCTGTTCTATTCATCTTTGTTATCAACATTATTCTTAATATTTTGACATAGATGCTTTTATCGATGTGATTATCATTGAGAATTTTAAATCAGAACAAATAGGTAATATGTTATCGGTTCTTTTCTTACTAGGTTTCTTAGCGGAATGACGTACAAAAATATTGAGAGATTATAATTAGATGATCAACAACTATGAGTAGAGGGCGTACAGGTACGAATCAAAATTTTTCTTTCAAAATGAATACAGAATACGAAAAGTCTTGTATGTGTATAATTCTAAGTAAGATTTTGAAGAAAATACCTGTTTTCTGTTACAATAAATTGCTCGACAAGTTAGTTGATATATTTTATTCAGAACGTCTAAGTCACAGAGGCGCTTACATGTATTATGATGGCGCCGCTCAATGGACAAAATCAGTGACATCTTACTATGCAGTATTGCACAACACTTTGGTAATATCAATGCTTTTTTCTTATAAAGTTTTGCTATAGAAAATCTCTTTACTTGATATTATCAATTAAATAACTACTTGCAAGAATGGTTAAACGCTGTTCAAACTGCAACGCTATCGACTCGTTAGTGAAAATCATGAGCCGAGCACATGATGGAAATTACATTGTCTATCCTAATGGACGAGAATCAAATGGTTATTTGCCAAATGTTGGTGGACTCTGTGATTCGGACGGTTTAGCAATCGAGATATGCATCGCATGTGGTCAACTAAATGGACTTGACCGAGTTGCATTAAGAGAAAATCTCAGCGGGCCACCTCAATATGATGAATAGAATTATTTATTAATAAAAATTCACTCTAAATTTATGTAATGTATTTACCCAAGAATGTGTTGCTATTAATTTCATGTAAAATATTTAATAGAGACCTGGTTTTTTTTTATAAGTGAGCTCTTAACAACTATTTTATTACTATCTTCAATCGTTGTTTAGTATTGAATTCAAACTCAAGATATTAAATGTTAAGATAATAAAGAAAAACATATTGAAATCTTTTTAAAAGGGTATATTTTATACAGTATTTAGGCATAACGATAATTTAATAGATTTCAAGCTGGATGAATCAAGAGATTCACTCGTTTATGAGACAGAATACCATAGATCATCCGCTTTGATAAATGATCTGAAGTTCTTAATGGAAACAAAATGTTTTCGAATAATCTAATACGCCAGGAATGGGTTAATATATTTATCTTGTTTGCTAAATTTCGAGTATTTTTATAATTAAATGGCAAATGTGGAACAGCCAAAAGAAAGTAAAAAGACATGAGACTGTTTGCTCATGTTCAAGTAATTAATAAACTTCATTTCCTCAATTAAAATATGATTATCTATTTTTCTGAATTGTTAATAGTCTGCCTAACTTAAAAACATTTGTGTGAAGTAGAACGACGTGCCGAGTTACATCATACGGTCATCAGAGTATCTATGAAAAACA